CTTCTGCTCCACCAACTTCCTCCATATCCGATCATCCTGGGCTTGAGGAATGGCCAACTCCTCCATGGCTGGCCGTGGACCCAACTGGACTGCATTGTCAATCTCAAAGCCAAACACCTCTGGAACTGTTCCTCCTTGGGCCATCAAAGATCATCACCTTACTAAGGCCGACATCTCTCAGTTCTTCGAACTCGTCCTCCTGCTCATTGAACCCATCAATAGGCTCAGCCATCTCCACCAACTCCCAGCTTCCTTGACGTTCCACTAAGGTGGATCTGCAAACTCCATCTCCTTGATCACGGAAGCCAGGAATGAACTGCGGGCTTTGGAACTGTACTAATCGACCAGCCGCTCCTCATCAAGCGGCCAAATGATAAAATTGGCTGACTGACCATGTCGCTGAATGTGACCTCACACATAACTCCTGATCTTCTTGCCCGGTGCAACTTGCAAATGGGGTGCCTCCTGCAGCACTTGGTCGTTGCCCGTGCCCTTCATGAACTTGCCAGGAAAAATCGAAGCATCAGCACCGGAGTCAACGATCAGCTTGAAGGACTGTAGCTCCTGGTCCTGCTCATCTCCATAAAGCTCTCCACTCTCCTCCTCATTGTCGGTCCCGACGATGGTGTTGACCGTGTAGCCATCATACTCACCCTCGTCATCTGAGGCAGTGTTAAAAAAATTTAACCTCGCTCACCATACCAATTGCACCAGCTTAACCCGCCTGATGTTCTTGGCGGCTGTACTCGATTCACCACCTCCTCCACTCGTAGCGCCCATCGTCAAGGTGGTCGAAGGTGATGTCGCTGGAGCCTCCACCTGTCGAACCCTCCAGCAGTCACGCGCCATGTGTCCTGGCCTGCCGCAGGTCCAACAAACCTCACCGGAGTTCTTGCCCTTGCCACCCTTGCCGAATTTGCCACCACCTTCCATCTTTTCCACTGGGCTTGCCTCCTTTGCCTTTGCCCTTGGACTTATCATCTTCGCCCTTCGACTTGCCCTTTGGTGTCTTTGGACTTGCCTTTGCCCTTCTTGCCATTTCCCTTGATGCGGTCGATCTCCATAGGCATCATGCCATTTGGATCAGATGTAATTAGGCTCATTCCTGAGAACGTCAGCGCCTGACTCATTCCATTTCGTCGTTGCCGCATCGAGAAGGCGATGATGGCCTCTCTAATCTTGCTGTACGAGCTGCCTTCGTTCAGTGTCAAGTTCAGGTGCGTCTTCATCTGGCCGGACACTGCTCGAAGGAGAACGGCCGACTTCATATCCTGGGACAGCTTTCCTCCAAGGTGCTCGCGCAGTGCTCCTCCAGCTTCAGGATCTGGGGCAACAAAGAGTTTTTCATGTTGAAGCTGGGGTCGGACATGATGCCCTGCAGGAGATTCATCGTCCTGTTCCTTGCTTGGGGTTGACAGTTCATCAACAACTGTCTCAGAGCCTCCATCCCTTTGAACTTCTCCACATTCTTGATGACTCCTGTCAACCGGCCCTGGACTAAGGTCCCAAGCAGGCTGTACAAAAACCTGTTCAATGCAGCAGCTCCCAGTCACCGAGGGCTCAGATTCGCCTCCAACTCGTCCTGGAAGGCGCAGTCAACCACCACCAGGTACTTCTTGACCGTCCAGTACCACACCGAAGCGAGGATTGAAGGAACTGGGCCTTGGGATCAGCTTGGCGAGGTCTTTCTTCAGGACTCGACCCTCCTGCAGCTCCTCCTCCACTGCCACTCGCCGCGCCTGCTTGAGCAGCTTGCGCTGCAGCTGTGGCTGCTGCTGTCACCGCCTGGGCCAGTCATCTCTGACTGATCCATCGCGCCCTCTAGCTCGGCCAAAACCTCCTCGATCAAGAGCAAGTAGTGTGCTCTGGCTGCCGAAGATCTCCTTCGCGTAATCTCAAGCACTGACTGCGAGCAAAATGCTACACCGGTTGTAAGGGTCGAACTTACCCAAAGGTTAAAAATCCCGGAGCGCCAACACAACTGCGTCGGCCTTCTCAGCTCCGCTACCCGAGGTTTTCTGGATCCGAAAGGCCTCAACATGTTTCTATACATGCTATGAAGTGAGTGCGGTGCAGATACGCACCGTCCCCCCACGGGCGCCGGTTGGCGAAGCCTGTCAGTTTCATTTTACAGCGTTCAGTTGAATTGGATCCACTCCGCGGTGACTCACATATTGCCATACCTGGGTCTTCATAAGTATGCATTTTTTCCGCCTTTTCAATCAAAACTGCTTTTTCAAGCAAACGCCAACTATTTTGTACTGATGCACTTTTTGCATTGACATGTTTTCGATGGTATGTCAAGGTTTTGAAACGGCGACTTTCCCCGACCAAACGGCGACTTTTGCCAACTGCTAGTTTGGTAACCTCTGTAAAAACATCGAAACGGCGTTTGACGGCAAACGACTGAAATTTGTGCTGTTTCGCCAAACGGCAGAAAAAACACACCCGTGGAAGGTCCAGGTATGGTAAGGTCCAAAACGCTCACAGTGTCGGGCACGCTTCCCAATTTGATCCCGTGAGTTGAACGACCCTTTTCGCTACTTCGTTCAACTGACGCCCTTAAGGCTTTTTCAGCGCAAGTGCTCTTGGATGGCCGGGCGTGAAGACAAGAAAAGCAACGCTTTCTACAAGAAACACTGTTGCCACTTTTATCTGTTGTGGGGGACCACGCGCCATATATCTTCCGTGCTACCATTGTGTTGAAGCTTTTACACGTGCTTTGCCCGTCTGACACGCAAAATTCCAAGACGCCACTGACAGCACTGTGCTCTTTCGCCGTCAGTGCGTCGCAAGCAACCTCCGACTCGGCACCTCAAAAATCCGGGTGCAATTTGAAAGCAAAATCGTAGCAACCTCCGCCGCACCGATAGACATAGCCCGGCTCTTTGTGGTAAATGACACCCGCAAACTGCAACTCCGTAAAGAAGCGCCGTATGCGAGCGAATTCCGACGGTACACGCTCCTTCACGTGGACCTTGACCAAAATCATTCGAATATCTACTTCAAACCAAGCCAGGACACCGGTGTCGAGAATATCACAGCCTTCGCAATCAATTTTGAGAATATCGATCTTGCGACCCGTGTGGTTCAAGTCTCTCACAATCTCAGGAATACTTTTAGCAGGTGGCAAACTGCCAATCAACTGAGTATGGTAGTTCATGAACTTTGGCATCTGAACGGTTGTGTAATTGTGCCACGGTCGCACATCGAATGCATGTATTTCACATGAAGGTGAAATGGAATCATGGATCGCAGTTTCAAACGAACTATCACCGTTGCTGCCAATTGAATACACCAAACAGCCAGAAGCAGCTTCCCATGTGAGGCGATGTGGATTGCACACCCACTTTCCGTCACCTAAACGCCCTAGCCTTCGGACGAAGTCGCAAGTGAAAGTGGGTTGTAATAGAAAAAGTCTCCAGGATCGAAATGCGAAGTCTCATAGCGTTGTAGTACCTGAGAGATTTTCAACTGAAGATCCATGGCCTCTTTGTGAATCTGCTTTCGCCTCTGCCAATCAACATCACTTTCGCCGATGTAGCCAAAGCTTTCTTTCCAAGAGAGGCTCTCTTTCACGACTTGGAAGCGACGAAAGGTGCCATTTAGCATTTCTTGCGCAACCGGACCGCGGCTGTCCCAGCAGGCTCGGGTCGGCAACGCAAGAAATGAACGTGCAAAATCATCGTGAAGTCGCAAGAATGTCATTTCGACGCAATTCCCACCGCACCGCGCAGTGTCAAACTCCTTGTGGGTTACAACGAACCCTTTGCTTTGCAAGAACAAAAGAAAAGCTGGAATTTCAGGCGGTGGGTCTTTAGGTGTTGTGAGGTAATCTCCCAGGCCGGGATGCAGTCCGTGAGCCTCGTAATCAAAAGGCCACGTGAGTCTGACCAGCAGTTGACGCACAAAGACGTCGTCATGAAACCAGCCAGAGTATTGGGCCCGATCCCATTCACATCCATGGCAATCAATATTCAAAATGTCGATGTTCCTGCCTGTGTGGCCAAGTTCCTTGGCTATCTGGTTGATGTCAACCAAAGGAGCGACACCACCAACTTGTTTGACATGGTACTGAATGAAGGGCGGTGGTACAACTTGCGACGCGTTGCCGAAGACATGGATCTCACAATGTCTCCTTTCGTTGCGCAAAGCTGTTTCAAACTCAAAGGTGTTGGCAACACCTCTGAACGAATACACCAAACAACCGTCACGGACTTGACCGACTTGATGTGGATTGCACACCCATTTGCCAAAGGCCCCAATGGGTCCAATTCTGCGTTCAAAGGAACAGCTGAACGAAGGCTCCAAATGAAGCTGCCACCATTTCCGCCCGACGCACGGACCCTCTCCCAAGTGGAAACATTCTGCTTGGCAGCTTCGCTCAGCAGCAGCTTGGTGGGAATGAATCAATTTCCGGAGAAACCATCGGGAATCGGATTCTTCAAAGAATCCAAAACTCTCTGCGATTGAAAGAGAGTTTGACACACTCTCCGACACAACCTTTCTTGTCTCCAAAATCGGTAAGGAAGGAAACGCACAGGCGCTGAAGCCGCTGAAGTACGTGAACAGAAACACAATCAAAGCAAGCACTGCGACAGCTGAGAACCTCGCCATGGCCCCGTTACACGTCTGAACGTATTTGTCAATTTAGGTTTCCGCGATGCCTGAAAACACAAAAAAATACAAGTTTTGCTTGTGATTCTGGATCACGTTGGCCAGTTCCAACTTGGCAAAGGGCTGCGGCAAATTTCTATTGGCAATGTGTGGCTCTCTGCCTTGGCGACAGCGTTCGCACATGGGCTGGGCGCGCGCAAGTGACATGGCCTTTCTCAGCGTCATTTGGGCGGTCTTTGCCCAGGTTGAAGACACAATTTTTCTAGTAGCGTTCGATCGCTCCTAGTAGGGGTGCCAAGAGTCCCGTTCGTAGCTTCTTGCTCCTAGTATAGGCCAGGAACCCCTAGTAGGACGCTACTAGAAACTCTGCGTTTTGCGGTTCCTCATCTCAAGTCACGAGCCTGGCAAGAAGTTTTGAAAATGACAGTCATGAACATGCATCACGCTGCCATACTATTACCCATTAAGCATTGCCCATATAGGAACAAATGCATCGCTACTAGTAACAAGTGCCTTACTAGGAACAAGTTAAATCCGAAAAGAAGGCGCGAACAAACATCTCACCTGGCCATTCGCCTCGTTGGGACCGAACTGCCTCGGGCGTGGAGCGGCACGACGACGCGACGGCAGTTGGAGAAACTGAAAAACAGGTGAGAAGAAAGACAAGCTATAGAAAGAACAACACTTTCCCCAGCCAGGTTGGCTCTCCAACTTCAAAAACACGTACACACGAAAAGTTGGACTCAACACAGGGGCAAGATATATCAGTTGCGCCTTGAAAAAAATGTATGTTGATAATTTAGAAAAATGTATTGTTTGGCGCCTGCCTAGACTTGGTCACGCGTCTACAAAGCTGGCACTTTAGGAGCAAGTTACATGATTGGGAAACATGATCCCATCCACCTGCGCAAGGATGACACACACACACACACACGCGTAGATAAAGGCTCGCAAGAGCTAAGTCAGTTAAGATCTCCCAGTGCATTGACCCTTTAGGTGAATACGTAGCACTTGACTTGATGCAACGGAAAGAAATGCCGCGTCAGAGAAAAGAACTGCATTTGCACTTTAGAACATGTTAAAAGTTTTGCAGGTACGTGACTTCGGCGTCCCAAAGTCATTTCACAACACGATGGAAGGGTCTTCGTTGGGCAATGCCTTCCAAAATGTTCGTTGCCCCCCCCCGTGCAACTATACAATGATTCCTTCACACGCTCTTCGAATTATGTGCATTACGGAGGTGAATCTTTAGTGTGGTGGAGTTCCTTGATAACAGGAGTTGACATACACAAGAAGCCGTCATTCGGTGCGCTCTGATGGGGAGGTGGGTGGGAATAACGGAGTGTGCTGCAAGGGGTTTCAAAGGGTTCGGTGGTCATGTACTCGAAATCGTTGGGCGGGAGTCTTTTTTTGCTCGGATCACTTGTCAATGAGCAAGGTCGTGCCCATTTTGGGCGTGCAAGCGGGCAAGGTGAACGAGCACTCGCTTTCCGCCGAGGCCGGGTACGTGTAGTTGCGGACGAGGCGGGCGCAGGAGTTGAGACCTGAAAGTCGTAGACGTTAGGATCCAGCGGAAGCGTGGTCGCGAATTTTCCATGGTGCATCCGGTTGAATGAAGGTGATGGTGCGTTGAGTGAGTCGAAGCCGAGGAGGTGCATATCATCCACGGGTTCGAGCTCCACAGGATGGCCGAAAATTCAGGATGGATGAGGGTTTGGACGCCGATCTGGTTGAGGAAGGTGACGTCAAAGGTGAAGAAGTGGTTGTCGACAAAGCGATAGTATACACAGTGGATCTGTGCGTGGTCCGTGAGGCTATGGTGAAGTTGAATCCAAGAGTGTTTGATGAGGGTGATAGCGCACAAAGCTGGAGAGAGTTGGGATCCAATCCCGGCTCCTCGAATCTGTTGAAAATAGGTAACGCGTTGAGCGCTACTTTGACACTAGTTGGAATGTCCTGTGTGTCAATGGTGCGTTGGGTGGGACGCCGTCTGTGGTGTTCTTCAATGTGAGATAGTTGGATGGGGTTGCCTGTGGCCAGTATGTCAATGGTGAGAGTAGAAGTGTCGTAGGTGAGATTCCATTTGTTGGTGAGGCTCTTGACTGCATCCAAGGGTCGGTCTTGTGGGGCCGAGTTGAAGAAGCCCACGTGCGCGGTTGAAGTACTCGTGGAAGTGCTGCCAGAGTTGGGGAATGGAGAGTTGTCCTACAGCTTGCTTGTGGCAGGAGGCGGAGAAGCATGGTAGTGATAGCGGTGGAGGTGCCTCGAAGGAGGGCGCCAAAATGTGATTTGAAGTAGGAAATGATGGCGCGGCCTTTCTGCCATTGTTTTTTGGCCTTGACAGTGGTGAATTTGGTGCGGAAGCACCATTTGTACTTCTTACGGAGCTGGGCTGGGAATGCTTGTTGGACGAGGTGTGTGATGGTCTCGGAGGTGTGATTGGGAAGTGGTTTGAAGAGTTCTGGTGAGTGCCAGGCGGCGAGACATCCTCTGAAGTAGATTTTGGGGCTAAAGATCCGGAGATGTTGCAATTGCTTCATGGAGCGAGCCGTAAAACGTGGTTCCTGATGTAAGTGGTGCAGGTGTTGTTGCCATTTAGCGGCGGGGAAATGTTGAGCATGTTGAACCAGTGAGGTGGTAGGCCATGACGCTTGAGCCACTTCGTCATGGCTTTGTGAAAAGTGTCAATATACTGGTGTTTGGTTGGGAAAAAGGCGCTGCTCATGTTGGCGCCGATGAAGTGGCAGAGGTGTGGCGCTAATTGTAGGTCATCAAGTGTGATGATCAGGCGATTGTGGGCGGTAGGGTGATGTGGGTTGGTGAGTAGTTGGCGGAGATGCTTTCAGCCGCAAGGGAGCTGGTCCTCATGGGGCGGGTGGTGGAAAACTTGTTCCCAGCGACGATGGTTGTGGAGTTTGCTGCGAAGCGTTGCGTGTGGCAGCTTCGCGCAGTTTGCACGTCGGGAGGCGTTAATGGGACGGCAAGGCGCTTGTGTTGGTGAAGTGGACAAGTGAGCCACCGTTGAGCGTTCTGTTGGAAAGTGTCGCGCGCCAGAAATGTGATGGTGAGTGGCTGGTTGGTCTTGGGCGGCGTGAGGCTTCGAAACTGTAAGGATTTGTTGAGGACGTGGATGGCTTGCTTCGGCCTGGTTCTTCCAAACTGGTGGCCACGCGGCATATCGCGTAGACTCCTAAGTCAGAGTATTGGCCGGAGCGAACTTGGATGCCCGTCGTGATTGCTAAACCTCTGTCTCATTTACTACGTCTTTAGCCTACTTCGAAACACATTTAGCAGTCGTTTGCGCCACTTAGCTAAACATGTTTATACCGCTTCCGTAACCATGTTTAGCGCCTTTGTAACCATGGTTAGATAAACGCGATAACCAGGACTAACCCTAAAAATTTGAGCCCTCATATGGGTTCATTTTGACATTCCGCGTCGCGTTTTTTTGGCAAAAGCGCGAGCTCTGCGTGCACCCTGCGCTATGCGAGCTCTTGCAAGAAGCCCTGCGAGTCCTGGCCGTGGCGGAGATTTCCGGACACCGGCGCCGCGTCGTGGAGGCAGGGCGCCACGTTTTGGAAAGCCGCGCTGATCAGAAGCAGGGCCTGCGCTTGTGGCTCGCGTATTTTCTGACCACGCAGGGCCAGCAACGGCTCGCTTCAAGGTATATAGATCTTTCTCGGGTCCACAAGGCACATCGACCAGGACCACGGTGATCACCTGGCAGAAACGAGCGATCGAACGATGGAACGACGAAACGACATGACGAGAATCGATCGAACGGTGCACTGCGCAGAAAACATGAAGTTCCTGCGTGTAAAAAAGGAGGCCTGTCACGCAAGTGGGTTGCAAAACGTCAGGTTCCATGTCCAAAATGAAGCCTGTCATGCAACATGGGTGCAGTTCTTTTTCAGGGATCACGGTTGCCACGTCTCCACTGACATAAAACGGGACACCAATTCTGGTGCCTCAGTCATTCGGAACTGATTGGGGCCTGCAGGCTTCCACTTGGAAACGACTGAGTGAAATGAAGCGCCACTGACTTCTGACGCAACCTGCAAATGGAACCAGATCTCAACCATGTGCGCGCTAGTCTGCACACAGTTGCAAAGGGCGTCGAAAGAAACAAACACTTCAAAGCTCGAGTCCAAAGTGTGGCCAAGGTTTCGTTGCAGCTCCATGGTCAACTCTGCAGAAGCTTTCAAGGGATTGTGAAGCACTACCCCAGACTTGCAGTCCCATTCGCTTGTCTCCAGCAGCTGCGCCAAGACCACCTCTTCTAAGATGTCCCTCTCCCACGAGACTTTCCTGTTGGCGTTCGTGTTGTGGTTGGCATGTCTTTTGAGCTGTCGGTGTTTCCTTTCATGCGCCCAACAACTCGTCAACTGGCCGTCTCGGGCCAGAAACAACGGCAAGTGAAGGCTATAGTGAGCCTTGGGCTGCATACACGCCGGTCCGTACGCGGCCAGGCGATCGCAAAGGTGACTCTCACTGCGTTGCCGCAACTCCTCAGTATTTCAAGTTTATATCTATAGTAGTTTGCTGCGTTTTCTCTTTGTTTAAAACTCGGCATGACTTACAACGGTTTCGTTCCAAACGAGCAACTGTTTGTCAGATGCCCTGTCAAAGCAAACCCAATCCCAGTTTCACAACTTTTCCTTTCACAGTGAACCCCCTGCACACCCTTCAGTCAAGTATCAAGAAAATTGACACCAAACATATCTAAAAATAGTGGTCAAACGTTGAAGGAACCGTGTCAAGGGTCAACGGGCGAAACGCTCTCTGATCGGGTTCTCTGGAGAAGATCCAACACCGCAGCCAAACTGTAGTAAGACCTGATGGCCTTGCCTGCTTCTCCAACAGACGATGGAACTTCAGTCATCAACCAGGCCCTGATACACGGGTATAGCGACAACCCTTCAGAGGCCGAGCAACTCAAAGGTCCATCTTTCAGTTTCTCAACAGCCCTGATGCCACTCAAGCTTCTGGGCGAGATCTTCTTGGGCCATGACAACTTCTTCAAAAAAGCAACCAACGACGACACACCGATTCCATGCCCTTCTTTCACCTTGCTCAAAAGGAGGGACACCTCGCTATTCCACAAGCCTGAGACAAGGTATATATGCATCCAGTCGTAAGATGTCATCGATACAGGTCCAGGAATTGTTGCCATGAAGTTCTCATCGAAAAGCGCGCCTTCCTCGCAATACGTAAACCCCAAAGTCTTTTCAAGCTCATCCAAAGCGCCCTTCCTCAAGGTGACCTTATCGGCTTTGAGTTTCCTGATCACCGCCATGACTGATTCATCCGTGTGCAAGACACATTCGTCCAGGCTGCAAACAAAACTTGGCACCAGCCAGTCAGATGTGTCGTGAGCTGCCACCTCCCGCAAATGGTTGGTGACGTTCTGGCAGAACACACAAATGAACAGTCCTGAGGAGCCCTTATTCGACCAGCGTTGCTTAAGCGCGGCCTCGTCCGCCAAGAGAAGCCAAACTTACAAGGCCCATTCAGGGGCAGGCTCAGTCCAAGCCTTCCGTCAAACGGCGGTTTTGTGAACAACTCACAGATTTTTTTGAACAGTTGACTGTACTG